ACACACACACACACACACACACACCCTTCAACAAAGATATCATTTTAAAAAACAGGCACACTTCCCTACCCACTCTCATTTTTAGGTTTAAATGATCTCCTTATGTTCCTATAATCCCTTAATTACCCTCAATCCCTTTCATCCCACTTATCTATTTAATCATTTGTGACTATCACTGAATAGTTCCTGTCCTCAAAGGCAGTGGGTAGTATGTTAATTGGTTTGCACAATCCCAGGCCCTCTCCATTTAACCCTCTGTCTGCACTTCGTTCTATAGACATGCTTCCTTGCTTTGTATCCTACCATGCTGGATTTCTGGTACCAGCCCTGGTTGTGCAAAACAACCTTGCCAGCAAAGCTGGACAGGCCTGCTTTGGTCTTGAGAAACCAGGAAAGCTTCTCAGGCTGCTTTTTATTTTTTTCCATCATAAGTTCTATTCCACTTCAAATTCCACTTCAAATGGACTCCACAACAGCATTGTTTTTACAAAAAAGGTCAGACCCAAGAACACCAGGAACATGCACGGATTTTGTCTGTTTGAACAGCTGCTTGGAACTGCTCTCACTGTTGTCGGAATCTTCTGCTATAATCTTTTGGTCAGGGAGCTGTAATTTCAAATTGCTTATATTGAATTAAGCATAAATGATGCATTGGGACGTAGAAGCCATTGGTTTTACCATTCCCCAGCCATTTCTATGTTCCTTGTGCTTCAGTGCTCTGAGTACCACAGATTTATTATATTTGATCTTTCAACCTGTTTCATCTACCATTTTGTTAGATTACTTTATATATTCCTTACAGATTTAAAGAATTGGCAACAGATTTGAGGTTTTAACCATCAGTTTTGGGATTTTATTACCTTACTCTAATTTATATTTCCTATTGACTCCTGTATCCAGTTGGTTTGAAATAAACTCTTCGGTTCATAGGTGGTTCATATTGCCTTAATACAGAACCTCTGTATGTATGCATTAGTATCAAATGCCATGGTATTTTAAGATAAAATAATCAGATACAATATTTGACTTATTAATAAAAATTAAATAGATATATAAAATGCAATCAAACCACATAAAATAGCCTGAAGGAAATTGAACTATCTGTCAGGAGAATCAAAGGATGTTAGGGGTGTTGCCTATAGGAGTCAGAAAGCAGCTCAGAAAATACCAGTTACACAGATGACTTTGAAGGTGTCCACCATGTAGGTTAGGGTGACCTGTCTTGTTGGACTCTTCATAGAATATCTTCTAAACTTTTCTGGAGTGTAGTGAGTGATAAACAGTCAGGTAAGAGGCTGCCATGAGGAACTTCTCATTGATCTTGCTCCCCCCATTCTGCCTTAGGCTATAAATACACAATCCCCTGCAGATCTATGAAATAGCTTGCCTGTTGACCTCTCAGGGCAAGAGCAGTGCACTGCCATTCTCTTGGTCTCCTTGTAGACCTATCTTGTTGAACTAGGGACACAGAGAGTGAACATCATTCTGATGTTGCCACTATTGTCTGTGTAAGTAATAAACTTTCTGAATTCATTTGTCTCCTTGGTCTCCTTAATAGCCAAAGTTGGCAGCTGCAATGCTAACACTGCCATCCTATTCATTACCCTGCTATTATACAAAGACTGCTTACCACCCACTAAGGAAATTTCAATTTCTTTGAAATATATGGTATTTTTGATACATCAATAATATGCAACTGCATTTCACATTTAATTGAAAGCTTTCAAATTAAAACTACTCATTTGGGGTCATGGCAATAGGGGTTCTTCCCAATTTTGATACGGCTAATATTAATAACCCTACTCTGTGATTCTGTTTAACTCAGCTAACATAATTATTTTAGATTTTGTTTGTTTTATGAGTATGTGTGTCTTGCCTGCATGTGTGTGTGTGTATGTGTGTGTGTGTGTGTGTGTGTGTGTGTGTGTGTATGCGTTATGTGCATGCCTGGTCCTTATAGAAATCAGAATAAGACATTGAATTCCATAAAATTGAAGGAAAGGATGGCTGTGAGACACCATGTCTGTTCCAGGAATTTAACCTAGGACCTCTGCAAGAAAAGCACATACTCTCAAGCACTGAGCCATCTTTCCAGCCCTTTTATGTACACATTTAACTTAATTGTAAAAGTGGTTGATTTCTTTTTCAAAAATATTTGTTTTGATTATCTAGATTCAGCAGAGTAAAAGTGATGCAATGGATGAATGGATGGTCGGATGGATGAGTGAATGAAAACTTGTAACCGTTAGTACTTGTAAATTTCTCAAGTTCCATCTGATTTTTAAGTCGTTTATTTACTCACTCATATGAGAAACATTATTAGGTTTGTGCAAATTTTATATTATATGTATAATGAAATTTAAATACCAAAATATTATGCAACCTAAGGTAGAGATGAAGATCATTAAGAATAAGTAAATCAATAAAATATTTTATCAAAAACCAGGGGGAGAAATAATCTGGATTTACATGTTAACATGCTAGATTAACATAATTTTGTGATTCAGTAAAACATTTTTTGTTTGCTTATACTTTGGCAGTCTGGTGAAGATGCCCTCTGATTTTATAAGCAACTTAAGCTTGATTTTAATGTCTTCTGCAGCAAATGTCAGTCACATACATCTAAAATAAGTTTTCCTTCTCCAAACACAATGTTTTCTGAGGATTAGCTGTATGGATGTAGTCAAAGTGGTAACAAGTATATATAGAGAGTGATTTTATTCTTCACTACTTCTCTTTTGTAATCTTGAGGGAAAGCAGGATAACTGGTCCAGGTTCTCAGGCCTTCTTCCTTTGGGTTTCTGAAGTGGGTTTACAGTACTCAGACACATGAAAAAGAAGTGTCTTCTCTCATGTTGCATCACATTGTTGTTTCCAAAGCAAGCAGAAGAGTACTTGCATTTCTGAAGTCTGTTTGTTTTTGTGTGATCCTATGACTTGACCAACAAGTAGTGGAGAAGGAGATGCTGTTCAAACCACTCCCAGCCAACAGTGACTGGAATGAGCTAAAATGTCTACAACCTTTTTCACCATAGAACAAATATATGAATTCACCAAATAAAGAATGACAGCTCTCAGGAATTGTTTCCTAGGTAAATATGCTTTTAACTTTGCAAGATTTTTTTGTATTACTTGCGCATATACAAACTCAATTAACCCATTAATTTCAGGAATATATAGGCTTCTATGCAAATCCCCAAGAGAAGATATTTTTGACAAAGTTTCAATCTATTAAAATTGTGTAACTCCACTAGAAAGTTATTATATAGAAGAAATTTTTAATAAGACAAAACACAGACTTCGGGGTAAGCAAAGCTGCTCTAATAATAAATATTATTATTATTATTATATAATATATTATTATATATTATATAATATATAATTATATATTATATATTATATTATATATTATATAATTATATTATATAATTATATATTATATTATATAACATATATAATAACTCATAATAAAACTTGTATTGATTCCACACATGTTGGTATTGAAAAGCAGAGTTTCTATAGAGACTTCAATGATATAATGAATAGAGGAAATTAATTTCTTAAAGCACCAATGACATGGCAGGATTACTCCTACTAGTTGGCCATCAGTTGAATGTATACTGTTTCAGCCTTTAAAACTATCACCAAGTTTACGTTTTTCAAAACTGAACAAAACAGAGGCCATACAGTATGAATTTAACTCATTCACTAGGAAAGTCCCTATTGGAATTATCTGTATTTACCTAAAGCTAGGAGTACAACACAAAAGAATGCCTAAAACTTCATGCCAGCTGGCCACAAGTAGCTAGGAATTTTTAGCTACAAAGAAATTCAACCATTAGCTTTTATCTGAAGCCATTTCCTGTTGATTTCAAATCTGACAGAGTACCCCACAAAGTTCAATATTCCAAACAGAAAAGAGTAACTGATAGAAACAGACTGAATGCAGAAATATAGTTGGGAAGCTGGTTGGCCAGAAAGGGATTTTTTTTCATTTTTATAATTTAATTTAGAAACAAGATTGTTTTACATGTCAGTCCCAGTTCCCTTTTCCTCCCCCCTCCACTGCCCCCCCCAACTTACACCCTACCTGTCCCATAACCTTTCTGCTCCCCAGAGAGGGTGATGCCTTCCATGGAGTATCTTCAGAGTCTGTCATATCCTTTGGGAGAGGGCCTAGGCCCACCACCAGGTGCCTAGGCTGAGGGAGTATCCCTCTATGTAGAATGGACTCCCAAAGTCCATTCCTATGCTAGGGATAAGTACTGATCTATTACCAGAGGCCCCATAGATTTCCGAAGCCTCCTCACTGACACCCACGTTCATGGGAACTGGATCAGTCCTATGCTGGTTTCCCAGCTATCAGTCTGGGGTTCATGAGCTCCCCCTTGTTCAGGTCAGCTGTTCCTGTGGGTTTCACCAGTCTGGTCTTGACCCCTTTGCTCATCATTCCTCCCTGTCTGCAACTGGATTCCAGTTCAGTTCAGTGTTTAGCTGTGGTGTCTGCTTCTAATTCCATCAGCTGCTTCATGATGGCTCTAAGATGGCATATAAGTTAGTCATTAGTCTCATTATCTGTTAGGGGCATGTTAGGTAGCCTCTCCACCATTGCTTAGATTGTTAGTTGGTGTCATCCTTGTAGATCTCTGGACATTCCCCTAGTACCTGATTTCTCTTTAAACCTATAATGGCTCCCTCTATTATGGTATCTGTTACCTTGCTCTCCTCTATTCTTCCCCAGACTCAACTTTCCTGCTCCCTCATGTCCTCCTCTCCCCTCCTCTTCTCCCCTTCTCATTCTCCTAGCTCCTTCTCCTCTCCCCCACACTCCCAATTTTCTCAGGAGATCTTGAAACAGCTTGGTATTGGCACAAAAATAGACAATTAGACAAATGTAATCTAATTGAAAACCATGATATTAACCCACATATCTATGAACACCTGATTTTTGACAAAGAAGCTAAAGTTATACAATGGAAAAAAGAAAGCATCTTAACAAATGGTGCTGGCATAACTGGATGCTGGCATGTAGAAGACTGCAAATAGATCCATGTCTATTGCCATGCACAAATCTTAAGTCCAAGTGGATCAAAGACCTCAACATAAATCCAGCTACACTGAAACTATTAGAGGAGAAAGTGGGAAGTACAAATTGTTGTGGGAGACCTCTTCCTGAACATAGCACCAGTACAACAGACACAAATCAACAATTAATAAAGGGGACCTCCTGAAACTGAGAAGCTTCTGTAAGGCAAAGGACACAATCAACAAGACAAAATGGAAGACCACAGAATGGGAAAACATATTCACCAACCTTACATCTGCCAGAGGGCTGATCTCAAAAATTTACAAAGAACTCAAGAAACTGGTTTCCAAAACACCAAAGAATCTAATTAAAAACAGGGGTACAGAACTAAATAGAGAATTCTCAATAAATGAATATAAAATGGCTGAAAGACACATAAGAAAGTGCTCAACATCCTTAGCCATTAGGGAAATGTAAATAAAAACAACTCTGACATATCATCTTACTCCTGCCAGAATGGCTAAAATCAAAAACACCAATGACAGTTCATGCTGGAGAGAATGTGGAGAAAGGGGAACACTCCTCCACTGCTGGTAGGAGTGCCAACTTGTACAGCCACTTTGGAAATCAGTATAGCAATTCCTCAGGAAAATGGGAATCAGTCTACCACAAGATCCAGCAATTCAGCTCTTAGGCACATACCCAAATAATGCACGTTCATACAACAAGGACATCTGTTCAGCTATGTTCATTGCAGCATTATTTGTAATAGCCAGAACCTAGAAGCAACCTAGATTCCTCTCAACTGAAGAATGAATACAGAAAAATGTGGTACATTTACACAATGGAGTACTACTCGTCAGAAAAAAACAATGGAATCTTGAAATTCACAGGCAAATGGATGGAACTAGAAGAAACCATTCTGAGCAAGGTAACCAGTCACAAAAAGACAAACATAGTATGTACTCACTCATATATGGATTTAGACATAGAGCAAAGGATTACCAGCCCACAATCCACACCACCAGGGAAACTAGGAAACAAGTAGGACCCTAAGAGTGACATACATGGTTCCCCGGAGAAGGGGAAAGGGGCATGATTTCCTAAGGACTAATTTTTGGAAGTACATGAGACATATGTGCATTACTATTAACAGGGTTTGATATCATTAGCTCAATTAGATTTTTTCAGCTAAATTTCTGTAATGTTTATTTGTAAATATATAATATCTGTTTCAAAGACATTTTAAGGGGACTGAAAAGCTAGTTTACAATAAATTGAATACTTTCTCATTATTGTCAATAAATGTACTTATTTGTATTCATGTGTGTGGGTGGGTATGCTTATGCCATCATTCCTAAACAGCCAGAAATTCTATCCAACACAGAACAATACAGAACAAAAGTCATCTAGGTACATTTACTGCACAGCTTCCTCAAGTATCAAATATAAAGATAGGCAACATGAGCAGCAAATGTGGTACATTTTCCAACTGTAAAAAGTCAACAAGCTTTTTATAAACATAGAACTGGAACTCCACAGAAAACATGTGGGAAATATGTGGGAATAGCCATTATTTTTGTTAAAACCAACAAGGTAAATCCATGAAAACTCGGGTGATTCTCTTATGAGTGAGACACTGACTAATGATCACAGCTTTACACTGGTCTTGAGCCAGGTTATTAGTAACTTTACCTGCTGCCCCATCTCTGCCCAGATACCCACTTCCCTTACAGTAAATGCTTATCCATTGTGCCCGTCAGTTCTTAGTCCTTGCATATTCTCTTGTGGCTTCATCAGGTTTTCAAAGAGAATGTTCACAATTTGGAATTCTTTCCCCTTCCTCAATACTTTTTTTTCCTTAGATGTTCTTTGAGTCATTATAAATGCATTTATGTCCCTTGACTTTCAATCACATCTTATTGAAATTTTAAAACTTATTCACTCCCCAGTGATAGACACTTGATTTCGTATCCTCTTTTTTTTCTTTCTAGGGATAAAATTTATTTTGTAGCCCAGAATATCGAGAAACTAATGATTATCCAGCCCCAAGCTTTTTGTTTGCGGGGGTTATAGCCATACACCACCATGCTTGACCATAAGCCATGTTTCTTTACCCTTTACCATTACTGTTGAAACAATTTTCTTGTGACTTGTCCATGAAAACCTCTTATTTTTTATTTTTTATAATTGTAATTAGACCAATTTTAAATTAGAAACAAGCGTCTTTTATATGTCAATCCCAGTTCCCTCTCTTTCCCCCTCCTCTCCTGCTCCCCTAACCTCTATCCCTGCTCCCCAGGGAGGGTGAGACCTTCCATGGGGGATCATCAAAGTCTGTGGCATCATTTGCCCAGAGCCTAGGCCCTCCCCCTGTGTGTCTAGGCTGAGAGATTATCCCTCTATGGGGAAGGGGCTCCCAAAATTCATTCATACACTAGGGATAAATACTGATCCACTAACAGAGGCCCCATAGACTGTGCAGCCCTCCTAACTGATACCTATGTTCAGGGGGCCTGGTTCGGTCCTATGCTGGTTTCACAGCTGTCAGTCTCGGGACGTTGAATTACCCCTTGATGCAGAAAAGGACACAGCTCAAAATAAATCATTTTAAGAAGTCATTGTTAATCAGTGCCATCACTAAGATGTAGCAACAAGAGAGATATCTGTGGCAATTACAGAGCTACAGGTCTGGTCTGAATGGAACAGCTTCTGTGGAAATTGTCCTTCACCTGCAAAGAACTCTCAGTTTGGCCCAGCACCAGAGTGGCATTCTAACTAACACCTTTCCCAGAACAACATTGACTCAAGCCCACTCAAATAAATTAATGCTCATCTTTTAAGTAACTCATTTGGCAGGAACAAGCCATTTGGATGCCAATTTGAAGAGACAGAAGTAGGGCATGAGCAAAGAGGACATTTGAGGGAGGTATCTTACTTTGTGTCAAGCCACAGAGTCATTTAGTCATAGTTTTACTCTAAATATCACAGCACAGACCTGATATAGTAGAACACACATGCATTCCAAACATAGGCACTACAAGGGTAAAAACTCCTAATGAACACACAGAAGTCCAGAGGATTTTGTTCAGAAAGACCCAGTGAAAACCAGATACATTCTGACAGACACATTTTGGCTTCCTTTAACGTAAGCAAATGTGTATTTTCTTTAAGAAGCTTATTCTACAGGTGGCGTTCAACCAGCTATACATTTTTGGTTTCTGATCTTGATGACAAATGTATTAACTGTTGAGAACTAGACATTGAATCAAGTATATATAAGTTAGATGACAGAAATTAATGGCTTTTCCAATGCATAGGTAACTCATTTAAGATTTAAATAGGTTAATAATATGATCCAAGATGAATTATCTGGCTAGTAGCATAATAGGATTCTGAAATGAAACTATCAGACTCCAGAATTCACATAATATCTGACTGAAACTGTACTTTCTGTTTTCTATTAAGGGACCAAACAAGATCTGCTGAGATCCAGCCTCATCAATGATTAGAGTTGATTTATTCTATGGAAGGCATCTTCTTCATCACTATACAAGTTTCACACTGGAGATTATGCAGAGTGAGCACAAGTATGGGTAAGTATAGGAGTTTTCTACTGTACAATGATTCACTCACTAATAAAGCTTGCTACTTCACAATATGGAGCTATAAAAGAATGAATTCACCCTTGGCATAGAAGTTTGTATTTTAACTCCTGAGACCCAAATATTCTTATTGCCATAGATTATAATAATAATATAGTTGCACTGAGAAGAGCTTGCAATTAGAATTTAAAATAGACATCCTGCTCACTATGTTGAAGTGAACTTCAACTATGTTGAAGGCAGCACTGATCACCAACATTCCTTGAAAATAGCCTTCAAATCTTAGATTCTTACATCTCCATGATAAGCAGCCAGACTTTTATTGACATCACTAAGAGTCTCCCATCAACCAGAAAGCCAAGTCATTCAAGGAGAGCAGTTCTGAGATTTCTGGGCAAATCTTGTCCATACCCACTAGGAAAACCAAGTATTTTGGTAGACTCAGGTTGGGTAAGTACAATCTTCCATGCTTTATAATCCAGTTATCCCAGATACTGCCTCAGATGTAACAATGCCTCACCTACATGAATCCATCTTTTCCCCATTACCAAATATTTCATACCACAAATCTGTGCCATAGGTCACATTCTTTAATGTAGACAACTTTTTTTTTCTAAATACACATTTCTCCTTTTCCCAAGCCACTCTTCCCTTGCCCTATATTAATAATCCTTTGTATATTGAAATATATTTTGGAGTGTTAATTAATATTACTTAGTTTAAAAGAACCACAAATCATGAGGAGGGTGATATGTTTTGTTTTCATTTTTATTAAGAGTTGTGCAGGTTTGAAAATTATGGTAGTCCTCAATCTGATTACAGGGGAAGGCCAGTTCAGT